CCCCGCTGTGTACTTATTCAATCAACGGAAGGAGCCAGGCAGAAAATTGTCGGCTGAACAGAGACTGCAGTCTATCATTTGCAATCACTATTTGGGTATTCTGACATCTGCGGGTGCCGAGTGTATAAATACAAAAACCTGATAGGGAATATTTCCCCAGCCACGCTGTTTAGCACAATTGGGTTACTCAAGCATTTTTTCTCATTAAGCCCATGGGGTGTATGGCCAGCTTAAGGCAGCAAAGAGTAAACATTATTTATTTCTAATCTAACTGAGCTTCCTTACAATGTCAGACTTTCCAGAAAATAACTAGATACACCTAAAAAGTGTTATTTATCCAAATTTGGTATTTCAATTTTCAAAAAAATGACATGAAACATGCACCCTCTTTTATATCTCCCAAAAATCTAGTGGCGATACTACTCCACCCCTACTCCACCCCTTTTTGCAGATGTCACTCACCATACACCTATAGATTATCTGCAGATTTTCTGTGGCCAGATGGAAAAAGTGCAACAGATTTCTCCATCTACGCTAAACTGTGTGGATGGAGGAATCTCCCACTGGGCCAAGCTTCATTATCTTGCTAGTTGGCCACACTGGCTCTCAAAATATCTGATCATCCAATTAGATTGTTCAGGTATTTTGACAGCCAGCGGGGCCGACTAGCTGTGGGAAACCAGTAATACATATGAACTAGCCATACACACCTAGGTTTCCTGAACAAGAGAAATTGCTCAATTCCGCCATCCAAGCTAAGCCTTGATGGAGAAATCTGCCCCTGCCGGCTATTGTATTCAGAGAGCCGGGGTTATATCAAAAGTTCCAACTTGTCGACCTCTCCAACTGGTGACGTCACATCCGGTGACTGCCAGTAGGAGATCTACAACAGATGTTGCTAGTGAGCATGGGCAGGAAATCCTTGTCGAACTGTCTAACTATTGCCACAGCGCCTGTTCGGCTATCCACTTCTATAGCCTACTACAGTTATATTTTTCCTAGGTTATAGAAGCCGATGAGCTGATAGCCGTGCAGACGCAGTGGCTATTGCCTCATCGGATTCTATAACCTAGTCAAAGGTTATATTATGTTACAGCACCTGCACGGTCACATGATTCTTTCTACAACCACATCTGCCACTGTGCCTGCGCGGCTATCGGCTTCTCTAACCTAGAAAGAGAAAACTACCAAGTTTGTACTAGGTTATAGAATCCGATGAGCCGCAGTGGCAATAGTTCGACAGTTCGACAAGGATTTTCTGCCCATGCACACTAGCTCCATCTGCTGTACTTCTCCTACTGGCATTCACCGGATGTGAGATGCGCACTGTAATACACCCCCAGGGGTTATCAAGGTCCTTGGACCGCAGCTGTGGATTTGGCTTTGCTTTTTGAGGGAACGGTATCAGATCGCAGCTCTACCTCCGATGCCCAGGGTATTGATAAGGCTTGGAGAGAGCTGCTTCACATCATACCCCGTTTAGCACACCTCAACCTGCGCTTCACACGTAAGGTAGGTCACCTGTAATAAGGCAGACAGTATAAACAGGAGGATAGCTAGGAGGCAGGGTAACTGATTACCGAGCAGACAGTGGAGCAGGCATACGGTTATGCTATAGATTAAGGTTGCAGTAAAACAAGTAGTTGCGTAGGCATACAGCTATGCGTTAGGGTAAGTAGCAGAGAATCATACAGTTCAGTAGGCGTATGGTTATGCTATAGATTAAGGTTGCAGTAAAACAAGCAGTTGTGTAGGCATACAGCTATGCGTTAGGTTAAGTTGCAGTACGGAATACAGTTGATGAAGCATACAGCTATGCGTTAGGTTAAGTTGCAGTACGGAATACAGTTGATGAAGCATACAGCTATGCGTTAGGTTCAGTAGGCATATGGTTATGCTATAGGGTAGACTGCAGTATGGCATACAGTTGATTAGGCAGGTAGGAACTGCTGTGGAGATCCCCCTACCATAGCCCTATGGCTATGGTAGTAATACTTGCTGTTTGTGGCTATGGCAGGTATGGATGGACGTCTGCAGCAACTCTCTTTCAGTGGTGGATCTTGGAGCAGCAGGGCTGTCGGTTGATCAGCGTCCTGCTTCAACAATAGTGGGACGCCGATCAAACGGTGGGTCGCGGCTTTATGCCGACTACTCAGGTGAGTGGGCGGACTCTCGAGGCGCGCCTGCGCATTGACACCGCCGGACGACGTACGAGAGGGGGAGGAGTCTCGCGCCGCGCCTGCGCAGTGGTGCGTACGGCTCGACGTCCCGGCCGAGGGGTTTGAGGAGTATCACACCCAGTCAGAGAGCTCGACAAGTCAGAGCTTTTGATAGAACACCGGCACTTGTGATTGTCTCCATTCCCAAACAATCACTGTTCAGCAGACAATTTTCCAACCCAGCTCCTTTGATCTTGTAATCAAACTTTGCTGAGATGGTTGGTGGCGACAGAGCTCGGATTTATCAGGAAACGGCCGAGCAATGTATGGATATTATCACTCAGCTGGGGTCTACCAGTAAAAAAAAATATTGGTTCATGGTGGACTTTCCTTTTAAGTATGAATAACACTACGCACTTTCTGTTTGAAAAATCACCACAAACATAACCTCACTATACAGGGGTGTCCAAAGAGTCCTGCTCAGTTTATGTAGTCAGGAAGTAACTACAAAGAGACAGCAGCACTGAGGTACAACAAAGGGCAAACAATGTGAAAACAAGTATTTTTTTATGGTAATTGATTATGACACACAGTGCTTTAAAAGCTAAATGTCATCCAGGTAGGGTTTACATCTACGTTAATAGGGAGTCTTCTATAGGTAGTGAGACAGTTAAAGTGGACCATCTATATGAAATCAGACTTCCTCTACACAATGTGTTTTATAAGGGGAAAAAAACTACATACACATTTTGACTGAGTTTCTGAATCATGTTTGGTAATCACAAGTACATCTAGGTGTATCCAAGAGGTAAATAATAATATGGCATTCTACCATCAGAACTGCATTGTCAGTTGTGTATTCAGTACCAGAGAAAAACGTTGGTGCTTTTTGTTTTTTTGTCCACACCAATTCCATTATATGTATGATTAAATTGTTGCACTCCCTAGTCTCTACAATAAATTATAGGCTGTATGGTTAGAAGTATGTTCAATTATCCTCTTGTCATTGGAGAGTTCAACTGCATGCTTTTATCAAAGGAATATATAATTCAAGGTCACAATAAAGTTAATGCTTTACATTGAGTTTTTCATGTCATATGGCCAAAAGAAAATGGCAGCTAGATATGGCTGCTGACCTCTTCAATAAGTCGATTCCAGTTCATACTGTTTGTGGGCCTAGGTCCTGCCCATGGTATATTATGCTTGTTGGTAGAATAAAGTGATAGAAGATCAGAGGCTTGAAAATACTTAAGTGTAGATCTGCATTATGATTCTGAGAAAATAACAAAAGCACATACATACTAATTGTATAGTATTGTTCTTCAAACCCAGTGACTAAAAAAAATCCTTTATAATATTGACTTTCATTTCCTTAAGATTGCCCATATATTTAAAAGGGCAATTGGATGTACAGGCACCATGCCAATCTACCTTCAGGTCTTTTCATTAGTATAAGCTGTAGTCTTGGCTAAGTGTCTACATATATATATGGAAGATGGGCCAAACACTTTTGCTGCTGCTTATTTAAGCATGGGGGAGGCAGATAAAAAAAAGAGAAAAGGTTTTATTATTTGATTGATCACTCTTACAAAGACCTGTCCAATGGTGAGAATGAGCTCCTGCTGCCATAGACAAGAGAGTGCCACCAAATTTGGCAGAAAAAATAGTATCCCGGTTTCTAGGGTCACATTATACAATGGAATTACAGTACCAGTAAGGGTTTGTGTGCTTGGGCATTTGTTTGCTTTTCTTCCATCTACAAAGGAATGTGAATACAAAAGCAGCTTGACGCAACTAAGGTATCAACTCAGAAGGAACTCAGAAGCACCTCAAAAGCATCTCAAGTGCAAGCAGATTAATTCCGTGTACACAAACCCTTACACTTCCAGCTGTCTGGGGCTAGCAATGTACAATCTGGTTTGAAAAGCATTGTACTTTGTTTTAGCTATTTATCCTTTTTGCTAACTTTTTTGACGTTTAATCATTGATTTATTTATTTTATAAACATTTTGTGTCAATAAGTTCTTGGATGTACTATACATTTGGATACATATTACATTTCTTATTTCTATGTGTACACCCATCCATGTGAATAGACCAAAAATTGTATACTGAACTCTTTTCTTCCTAAGAAGTACATCTCCTCTGGTCCATCAGTACTGTATATAGTGTTGGCACTCCATTGCAAGCCTTTCAGCTGGTTTGCATCAACTCAAAATAAAGTCAGATTTCATATTATCTCATTGGCTGAATTAAGATCATATGTTATCATTTTTGCAATATGCATATGTGGGTTAAACGTTGTTATATATGTTTGTCTGGTATGTTCTTTAAAGTAAATTTATCATAAGCCTGGGCACTTTAAGTGAACCTTTGATGAAAAAATACAAAAGCAATGGCTTAGGGAAAACGGCCTTTGAAAGCAATCAATGGATCCCACAATATAGAACTTTTTTAGGCTTATGACAGGTTTACTTTAAAGCCAACTATTCTTTCTGTTTTCAACAGAGTGGAAAAGGGTTAAAACCTGTGTCATTGGTTTGCTGCTGTGCCTCTGTTGTTGAGTTTTCCCTCGCTTTCTATGTTTTCACAGGGACAGGAAGGGAGGGAAGCCTCTACAGCAAGGACATAGACAGCAATAAAAACCTGATAGAGGTTCCAGCCCTTCCTCACTAAAACTAAACTAAAACGCTTTGGTTGGAGAAACACTTTAGCAAACAACGGAGAAGGCATTCAATATGGTGAATGTAAGGGGAAACACATATTTGCATGTACTTTTCTTACCTTGTGATACTAACTTTATCTCTGCATGTATTTGCTTCTCTTAATCTGTTCCTAAAGACTCCAAACAGAACGGTGATGCTGCCAATGCTGCACTGGCCAATGAGGATTGCCCAACAATAGACCAAGCTCTCTCCCCAGAAGAAAAGTCCCCTGTTACCCCAGGTGCAAGAGAGAGATACAATCGTGACCGAGCTTGTTTCCTGTTGTCCACCGGAGACTTTGCACATTCTCCAGACGGCAACATCCGCAAAGGTATTTGCCTCTGATGCATTCTGCTCCACCTCCATCGCTCACTTTCATTTTATACAGCTATCTGCACCAATGCAAGGCTTGAAACAAATATGAATCCCCTTGAATCTCCTTTGCAAAGAAAATATCTCTGGCCTGCTTTCTACAACTTCGATCTTGCTGGTTCAAATTCCATTTGCCTTCTTTTGGCACATCCATAGTCCGCCAGTGGGATGTGTCAATGTAAGCTACAGGCCGTTTTATCATAAGTAGTCAAACATTTCCCTGCAGTTTTGCTTCCTGTAGTTTGCTCTAATACAAATAGTACACTTTAGTCTCTTTATCTGTTGGACTGTGTATATGCCATGGTGGTAAGGAAACTTGGAGGAGATCTGTGACAAACAGAAGCAGCTCAGCAACAAAACGCAACATGCAATATCTCACTTTTTATTGTAAAGAAGACATTATACAATTGAGATTGGGCATGTTTAGAGCATCCAGCAAACTATTTTTCAATTTGCTGCTCAAAAAAACACAAAAAACTTCTTTTTATAGCTCACACTTGCCAGCAGACCCTAATTTCAGGCCCCTTTGGCCATGCAAGAGGGACTTGACTCAAAAATGGGCAGAGTTAAGGCTTTGTTGAGCAGGTAGTGCTTTTGGAACTGGGAATCTCAGGGGCGGGGGTTTAATTTGTCCTGATATTTTCTCTGGGATTGTTGGCATGTAAGATTTTGTTTAATGAATTATTATAGACTTGTGGTGCAAAATGACCACAATGTTTGTTAGTCATTTGGCCTGCTAGAAATTCAACTTTGAAATATGTTTGTTGGGATGCAAGCAACAAGTGTTCAGAGAACAAGATCAAAGTAGTACATATAAATACAACACAACTGTGTAGATTCCATAGCAGTACCCAAAGGTGGGACAACATGTTCATACAACGTATTGTCTATTGTTTCAATGTTTATATGTCAAAAAAAAGAAGAAATGGCAATCTAGCCAGTCATATGTTCATGTTCTGTGTTATGTCCTTCGACCTTTGTGTATTTTTTTTGTTGCTCTTTTTGTTTTTCAGCTCATGTGACAGATCATAATGGCCCGATATCTGACTGAGGTTTTACTGCTGTATATGTTTATTATTGTCATTATTTGCATTCCCAATAGATTTTGCTACTTGTATCAAAATCTTTCTATATGCACTACAGCTACATGAGGCAGCATGACTTTCGACCTTTGTGTATTTTTTTTGTTGCTCTTTTTGTTTTTCAGCTCATGTGACAGATCATAATGGCCCGATATCTGACTGAGGTTTTACTGCTGTATATGTTTATTATTGTCATTATTTGCATTCCCAATAGATTTTGCTACTTGTATCAAAATCTTTCTATATGCACTACAGCTACATGAGGCAGCATAATCATATTTTTTGTCATGCTGTTACCAGCATGGTAGGTTGAGCTGTCATGCAAGAGACCAGTATGGACATTACTGTGTGTCGCTGTGGGATGTGTGTGTGTGAATGTGTGTGTCAAAGTATCAAAATAGTCACCCGCACACTGAGGTCCAACGTGTAAAATGCCTTTATTCAGACGTTAAACATACATGGTATCTATCATCAGTGGACAGCAACGTTTCGGAACCATTAAAGGTCCCTTCATCAGGCAAACATGTGTGTGTGTCTACTCATCATAACGCATACTCTCCAATTTTACTACAACATTAAGCCCTTCCCAAGCCATAAACCATACCTATAGCTACTAAACCCCTCCTTATAATAATAAATTGCTCTACTGCCAATTACAGCTCCATTTTGGAGTTGCAATTTTGGCTTTATTTTAAGCATAGGGCACAGAGCAATAAGCAACAGCAACCAATCACAGGTCAGTTTTTATTAGTCTAACCAATATTGCTAAAAAGTGATTTGCTGCTGTGGTTTACTGCATATACTTTCTAATTGCACTGTGTTACAACATTAGACATAGTAAGCATATATGGTAGCTATAAGTTGATGTGTAACACAACACAAAGAATTCTCAACACATGGCATTATTATTGTCCAGTCCACTAATTACCAAAAAAAAAAGATAAACAATGATGAAAGACATGGACCTCTTCTGAACCATTAGTTTCTCCAAGGAAGAACATATGCAAACTGAAGGGACATACATGTAACTTACCTATCATCATGCAGGTATGTTACCAACCCTTACCACTGAACTGGTTAAGTCCATATACCACAGATGTAATTAAAAACAACACAAACAGCATTTAAAATAATGTAACTCAATGTTACTTTGGATGTGGATTCTTAACCTTATGTACACATGTACCAAAGACTTGAAGAATTGGTTATACAACACAGTGGATTAGCCAATTCTGATAGTATTTTTTATATTCCCCATTGCCTAAAGTAATCTGCTGAGAAAAATGTCATGTATTCTTGCCCGTGGACAGCGGCTAAGTGACTCTCCAACAACAGCTCTGTTCTTGTACAAACTTAAGAACTTGGTTTTTGTATGTCATGTAGGTCAAGTTGAAAAGCTGCACATAGTGTCAGGTTGTTTTTGCCCACTTTGATAGGAAGCCTTGCAGTTACAACGGTCCAGAACATTTGTGGCCCTGCGGCCACAGGCAAGACAGGCTGGTGTTGTATGGAGGGGGTGGGCTGTTAGTTTATTAACAAAAAAAGGAGAATTTTTTTATCAGCCAGCCAAATATTTTACCAATTTCATCCCAAATTTCAGGCCAATACATTTGTCCCGATGTGTGAACCATTATGTATTTAAGCTCTGCTTGTTGGTGTGCTTGAACATTTTATTGCACATGGTGCATGTTTTTTTTTTTATTTGTAGCTGTATGCAAATGGGAAGTATATTTGTTTACTTGACAAGGAGATACCAAGTGAAGCCAGTCTCCTCCAGATTTCCCAATTTACAGTATTGTGCAAGTCACAAGGGCCAAGAGATACTTCCTTTCTACTGTTATGAGATGTGTAGCAATGTTTAACATATGAGCACCCATAGCAACCAATCAGAAGTTATCTTTCACTTTTATCAATGCTCTTAAGGGAATCCACTGTCTCCTAAAGGTTTTCTACATAAAATTTGTGAAAGCGATCTTAAAGAACGCCTGTGGTTAGAATAAGCTGACAATAACAGCACTGCAAAGTAGAATCCTTGAGTTGTCTGAACCCACCCTTTATATATCTGCAGGTGTGTCCTGGAAACTTTGAAACCCGCTGTACTCTGATCTGCAAATTTTGACTTCAGTTCTTAAAGTAGACATTGTTCACTTTTCTCTACCCATCCTGTGCCTCGATAATGACCCATTGCTCGAACTGAAGCCCTAACTGACCAATGCTGAGACTTGGGATGCAGAAGGGAATCTGATTTCCATATTAGAAGACACTTAGAGCACTGCTCATTGGAGGCTCCTAGTTAATAAGGCATGCTTAATTACCTTTAGGTTGCTAATTTGCAGGGGTATTAGCAATCTGATACATTTAATCAAAATACAGGTATACTTTAATGCAAGCCAATTTACCAGCATGTGTTGAAATAACTAAAAAAAATGCTTACTGTTGTAATTTTAATTATGTGCATATGATGCAGTTGCTCACTTCATATACATTTTCTGTTTTCTGCTTGGTGATAGAACTCGGTTCCTCTATCCCTTTTATTATTGTATCTATGGACAGGTATTTGTCAATAGGATGTAGGAATTAAATATGACAAAGTAAGCATATAAACCATGTACATTATGTAAAAAATCCCATCAAATTTTAAAATAAATTGAATATGAGTATTTGTTAAAAATGCTTGACAGTATCCCTTTAAGATAATGAAAGATTAAATCTGATTGGTTGCTATTAGTTATAACACGCTGTGCATCGTCATTGCTCTCTGCTTAGCCTTATTTTGTAAGCTCAGGTGAACCAGGCTAACTGGACAGTTATGTGGATGGGGTTCTTAGTTGTTTTGATACTTGCAGATTTTTAGTGTATACCCAATCCTTAGTAGAGATTTCTTCATGACCAATTGGAGATTTACTTGATTTCCATAAATGCTATCCCCAAATGCTATCCCTTCACTGCATGTCCTCTAACTAGAACTTCTTACCAAACCCAAACTAATCTGGATGACATTCTATTACCATATGCAAGTGACCTCAGATAGGTTTTCTGATGCCTTACCTTTCACTCAAAACTGGTATTTGGAATGTGATGGGCAGTTCATTCCCTGACTTTCTTGACTAGTCTTTTACCTGAAACTCTGTAATAACAGATAATATCAATTTTAAAGAGATGAAATTTTAAATATCAAATATAGAAACAGACACCCACTCATTATGACAATGGAAGATGTGCAAACCTGGGAAACCAGGAGCAGAAATCTCACTCTGGAGTCTTGGAGAAGTGAAATAAATCGTTAAGGGGTTTAAATCTCCATCATCTGCCAATGTGAAAATATCAGTTTTGTGTGGAATTTCCCTTTAAAAGTGTGACCCGGTGCCTGTACCATTATATTTTTTGCATCCTTTGTTAAGGTATAAGGTTTGCTGGTGTCCTTTTTGGCTGAATGAAAAATTGATCCCTGAAAGTTTAACTTTAAAGACACGCCATCTTATTTAATCACTTAGCAGCTTCCAATGTCTATTTCGGGACCTTGGCTTCCAGATCTTTCTAGATGAGTTCCCTGGTCTACCTAACCCTGCAGTGGTTATAGTGGTTTTTGTTGTTTCTTTTTGACATTTCTCTGACAGTATGGTAATTGTAGAAATAAGACTCTAGGTTCCAATGCCATCAAAAACAGGAGCTTCAGAGAGGAGATCCTGCAAATGTAGATAACTTGATCACCATTCACCAATATTCTTAGTCTAACCATCAAACGGGAATGCTGAGTGCGCCGTCTACATACCCTCATTGTCACACAGGGCATTCCTGAATAAAGTTATGTTTCTTGAGCATCTCAAAGAAATAAAACCAAAACCACTCGCATGTTCTATCTAGTGTTGGTCCTATG